TTATCTAAGAAGAATGCAAACTATACAAATTTGATTCTTTCATGAGAATGAAAAATAAAAAGCAGAACAAACACAAACAACCCTACAAATATTGAGTACTCTTTGAATGCTAATACATAAGGAGAAATGAATTCTGCAACTCAAGTGAGTCTTCCTTCCTCCTGTTTCCTGGGCAGCTGGCTCAAAGTCATGCTAAGGAGCCAGGAGTGGCCAGTTCTTACTCACCCTTTTTTTTAGCCGCTCACGCTCCTTCAGAGTTAGAGTGTCAGCTTTCGCGATGACAGGCACAATGTTCACTTTATTGTGTATCGCTTTCATAAATGCAACATCCAAGGGCTTCAGTCTAAATGTCACACATTTAGAAAAAGCAAGGAACACATTTTTTTTTCTCAAAATCATCTCGTTCTTGTATTATAATATGCAACATCTTTCTGTGGTAAAGAACTGACTCACCCATGTCCAAAAGGTGAGATGAAGTAGAAGCAACAATGTACCCTGTTATCAATGATGTGCCGTCTGTTCAATCCACTCTCATCATGTAGGTAGCGTTCAAACTGCTCATCAATGTAGGAGATAATTGTCTTAAAACTGAAACATAAATGTCAACAGTAATCATGAGGTGCAGAGAAAGGCACTTTCTAACTTCAAAGGAAAAACACATTTCTCTCTCCTTTTGCAGATAGTATGTAAAACAATCCATAACAGAAGATTGACTGTCAATCTTTAGCAAAATAAAGGTGTATGGGCTTTGTTTTTAAACTGTGACAAGTATTAAACAGTTTCAATAAAGCAATGGAAGTCAACAACAGGTTATAAAGTACCTGATAGTTGCCCTGTGAAACTGGAAGGCTGCCAACCCTCTGAAGACATACAACTGCTTCATAAGAGGCCAAGAAACAGGGCAATATCAGAAAGTGTGCAGTCCAAAGGAGGATTATGTAAGCTCCCAAAGAGGACAGCAAGGTCACAGGATGATGAGAAGGGAAATATTCTTAATGCAGAACTAGGGCAAAGGAGCAACATCCCCCTTTCCTTCCTTTCCTCAGTGCTGCAAAGTTGATGCTTTATTTTGGCAAGTTTACAACAAGGAGGAAGTAGGAACAAAAGTGGGATTTTCTGCACAATAAGGCAACAGGTTGCTCTACCTTCTTAATTTCCTTCTTTGTAAAAATGATGACAAAGAGCAGTCATTTACAGGTACTATGACTCAAGTTTCCCCTCCTACCATATGGAAGGGACAAACATACAAGAAGAGCAACTTGTCCACTAGTTGTAATTGCTATCACAGTGCTCTGTTTACGTTAGCAGTTTATAGGTGGTTAACTTTGAGTGCTCTTAGAAAAAACTAATTCTCAAGGTGGACATAGTGCTGGTCATCAAAAGACTTAGGCAAGCAAGGCAAGGGAATTTGAGTTCAAGGCCAGTCTGGATTATATAGTGAGACTGTGTTTCAAAGCAGCCATATTTAAACTTTAAATGATTAGCTCCAGCAACTTCAAGTGTTCTTAACATTGTCTATAGACGTACATATGTTAAGAAAATGAAAACAAATGCATAGCACTGGGCACTTTGGGGGGCTATGCACCCTTTGTGGGTTCATACCAATCCCTGCAGTTGATGGCATCCCCATAACCAGGTGTGTCCACTACTGTAAGCCGAAGCTTCACACCCCGCTCTTCAATCTCAACAGTTGAAGCCTCAATCTGGACAGTTCTTTCAATTTTCTCTAGAAAAGAAATAAACTTAATAGAAAACGTACCTTGAAATCAAGGCAGCATGCAAAAGGAAAGATTATCCATTATTTATGTTCTTATAAAAAATGACTTTGAAGTTCTTAGAAAGTAATATAAGGACTATTTAAAAAGATTCAGAGTCAGCAAGGAAAATTTTGGTGCTAAAAATGAATGTTTTTCTTGGGACCATTAAAAATAACAACATTGAGGGGCTGGAGAGATGGCTCAGCAGTTACGAATACTTGTTACTCTTGCAGAAAATTAAGGTTCAGTCACAACCATCCGGAACTCTAGTTCTAGGGGATCCAACCTCCAAGGGCACCAGGCAAATATATGGTATACACATATACATTCAGGCAAAACATTCAAACAAATTTAAAAAAAAAAATCTTCAAATAGCAATACTAGGACTAACAAAATAGCTCATGAAATACAAGCACCAGCTGCCAAGTCTGATGATGACCTGAGTTCAATTCCTGGAACCCATATGGTAGAAGTAGAGAACCAATTCCTGACTTCCATCCATGCATGCATACATGAATGTACAAATACACACACATTATGAAAAAATTTTAAATCTTAAGTTTCTGAGACAAAATAATTTCTGAGTTTATTTAAAAACAGGACATAAAAATACTGGTGAAAAGGTTGTACATCTTTACTGTGGTTGGCATTATAAGCTTAATCTATTCTTGACAACAAGTATTTATGAGGCTAGAAATGTAGGCCAGTGATAGAGCATTTGACTAGTATGTAAAAGGCCTAGGTTCAACTCACAGCATTGTAAAGCAAACAAACATATTTGAGAATGCCAGTGTCCTATGCCTGGATAATCAGAGAACAGACAAATTAGGCATGTATTCCTTTTAGATTTATTTATTTATTTTATGTATATGAGTAATCTGTTTGCATATACACCTGCATGCCAGAAGAGGGCATCAGACCACATTATAGACGGTTGTGAGCCACCAGGTGGTTGCTGGGAATTGAACTCAGAACCTCTGGAAGAGCAGACAGTGCTCTTAACCACTGAGCCATTTCTCCAGCCCTAGGCATGGATTGCTATAGTAATTTTCTATGTACATAACATTTTAAATTATATTTTTTAGATAATATAGAGGATTGAACCTATGACATCATGTATGCTGGGAAGGGCTCTAACACTGAGGCACATTCTCACTCTTGTATGTAACTTTTTAAAGACATGAAATTCTTTTAGTTACAATATGGACAGAAAACTAGGACATTTAATAGGTAACTGAAATAAAGGTTAGTTACACAGGTAAGTGTAGAACAAAGTCTACAACCAAGATATCAGGACCTCAGATATAGCACACTGTCCCTACTTAAGTGACAGTTTACAAAACACAAAGCGACTGAACAAAACACATGGCCACAGCTTAAGATATCAATTATATTCTAACAATGTTCAGGTGATGTAGAGATGTTTACCTGCAGCTCCAGGTATAATTCTTTCAGGGTAGAGATCAGTAAGGAATAAGCTGTTTATGAGAGTTGATTTTCCTAGACCAGATTCACCTTAAATGAAAATGAAAACACTGTCATGACCTTCTCCCAGATCACTGTTAAACTTGGAATGCTTACCACCACACATTCTTCACAAAAAGGGATGTGGATGCTCAAGGAAGGCGAGCAACTTGCTCAAAGTCAAAGAACAGAAACCTAATTTTAACCAAGTCTATGGAATTGCAGAATTTGTTAGTGGCATAATCACAAACAAATTTTATCTATTCACAGCTATATAGAACATACTTTGGAATTCTGTTGTTGCTGTTCTTTAGTGTTGATTTTTATCACTTAAGAAGCTTCATTCTTATTTTCATGCAAATTTTTCTAGTTATCCCTAAACACTATGCTTTTATATTCAATAATAGTGCTGTTAAGGTTTTGTATCTCCTTTCCTTTTTTGTTTTTTTGAGATGGTCTCATGTGGCTGGCATCAAACTCCCTAGGTAGCTAAGGGTAGCTTTGATCTCTTAATGTTCCTCCTCCTGAGTGCTGGGATTACAGGTGTGCATCACCATGCCTGGTTGGGTTCTGTCCTTAAAACTGTTTATATTTACAATTGATGTGCCAGTGTTTTGCCTGCATGTACTCAAGTGTACCCCACACATGTGCCCACAGAGGCCAGAAGAGTGCATTAGATCCTCTGGAACTGGAGTTTCAATTGTAAGCTGCCTTGTGGTAGCTGGGAATTAAACCAGAAAGTGCTCTTAATCACTGAGTCATCTCTTCAGCCCTTTTAAAGCTTGTTTTAAAATCACTTGCTGGTAAATTTCATACCACAGTAGACAACAATAACTTCAAAATGTTAAACCATGTGTTACTGTGTAAACTCCTTTCACTTGTCAGCTCTCTTACAACTAACATGCTTGATATTAACAATCTGTTGCAAAGGAATTACGATATTAGGGAATTATATCAGTATAATACAAGTTTCACATTTGCTTACATTTATGCAATGTTCACTGGGTAGAAAAAGGTGCATAAACTACCTCCAAATGGACACACATCAAATATCTATCAGTTACTTCAACAAATGTTTTGAGCCACACTCACTACACTAGTGCTAACACTTTCCATCTATCATTGACAATTCAATTCCACAACCTCCCAGGAACTCACAGCTGCAATCCCGTATGTGGCCAACTTCAGAGTCAAATGTCAAGACCCAATCAAGTCATACTGGCTTATCTGATTAACTGTATTTTAACCATTAGCTCAGGTTTAAAAGTTCCCTCCAAAACTCTTAAAGTTCAGCTATCATTGTACTGGTCATAGGGCTACTACTATTTTCAAGAATAGATTACTACTTTACTCAGGAGTGGCTGTTATGAAACTACACTCCCTCACCACATGATGCCCTCAATTGCACTACAACACAGCAAGAAGGACCTCTTTAGATAGGGTCCTTTGTCACACTGGACTCATAGTTCCCAGAAATATTTTCTTCATAAATAACACACTCTACACTCTATGGTATTCTAACTACAGAAAATGATCTAAGATAACATAATATTCCTGTAGACTTAAAACAATATTTCATGTGTATGATGTATTTTGCCTGCATGCAAGTGTACCATATGCCTACAGTATCCGAGGAAGCCAGAACAAGGCTTGGGTACCCTGGAATTGGAATTATGGGTGGCTATAAATTCCATGCGAGTGCTAGGGACTGAACCCAGGTCCTCAGGAAGAGCAGTAAGTGTCTTCTCTCTAAGGTCTCTCTTTTTTTTAACCACCAGAGCACTTAGAATTGTTTATTTCTATATAACTTGTTTAACTCATTTTCATCATTTGCTTCTGTTCACGGTTTCTTGACCAAGTTTTCATTTTACATTCCAAAATGTACTGCACCCAAAACAACGTGTTTTCAAACATCGCAGATACTCAAGTTGGACATTCATCTCCCGCCACCTACATGCTTGTTACTGGCAACTGTGGTCCTGGTAACTTGTTCAATCACTTTCCATGACAAGTTTTCAGAAAACAGTTGTTCAAGGACCTGGATGAGCCCGAGGGCAGGCCGGGTTCCGCCGCCCGGGGCCTCCGCTGCCCGCCATGCTGCCCGCGCTGCTCACGCTCCCGGGCGCTGCAGGGAAAAAGTCTCTAAGGTCTCTTAACATATCAATGGTAGAGACCTTGAGCTGTGTGCTATTTTCTGCACAAGCCTCATGGATTTTTGTCACATGGTTCTGCATATCATGATTTTCTTTTTTCCAGGAACACACAGATCATACTATAGAAACACTGAGTGCATTGTTGGCCTTGCTAAAATTTTGTTCATAAACACTAGTCTGTACTTTTTTTGTGATTTAGAATGGAATAAAGCTTAACTAATGAAATAGGTATGGGAGCTAAGCTAGGCACTGTGCTAGTACTTATGTGGTAAAGGCAGGGCAATCAGAGTTTAAGATCACAGCCGGTTTGAGGTTAGCCTGGGTTACATAAAACTGTCTCATAAACTCAAAAGTTGGGGGTAGTATTTTCTATTTGTCTAAAGTTTATATATGATTTTTTAAATTTCTACCTTACATGGCTGCTATGGTTTAGTGAGTCTAGACAATTAACTACCTCATCCAAGTTAACGTGGTCCTTTTTAGAAAGCTTACTGAACCCTGAATTATACAGTCAGAGATTGCTTGTTTTTTGAGTGCTACGCATCAGATGATAGTATGATGGATTACACTGGCATTTTCTATCAAGAACTGAAATTCACATTATTTTATTATGTAATTATACTCCTAAAATAGGTTAAAATAGGTCAGTAAGAATTCCCAATATCCTCATTTTAGGTCTGTGAAATATTAATTCTAAGAAATAATCAGGTCTTACGTAGTCATGGCCATCATAAAGCTTTTCAAATGCTTATTTTGTTTTAAAAATTTTTCAATTGTCAAAAACAAACTAAAGTATGGATGGGAAACAGAATCAACAGCTCATCATTAAAGCCAGGTGTGGTGGCTCAAGCCTTAAACAACACACAGGAGGCAGTGACATGCATTATCTCTGTAGGTTTGAAGCTGGCCTGTTCTACACAGCTAGTTCTAGGTCAGTCAGTGCTACATAGTGAAACCCTGTTTAAAAAACAAAAAGCAAAAAGCCAGTAACAACAATAATTTTAAAAAACCCACCACAATTCATCATTAAGCATCTACTGGCATGCTAAAACACAATATATGCTATGATCCAAAATACATTATAACAGCATCTATATCTGATACAATGAAAATACATTCAAGCAACCATTCAATTTCAATGGACTTCCTCTATAATTTTATGAATTACTAACTTTTAAGTGAAGATTAAACACAATACTAAATGATTAGCCATCTCTAGTATGTAACCAGTCTACAAATTCACCTATAACAATACCTCACAAATCTGGATTGTCACAAAATTTGACAGTGTCTATTTTTGTTGTTGTTTTTGCTTTTTGAGACAGGGTCTACGTAGTT